AAGGCCAGACTCCTCACCCCTGTCCTATCAGAACTGAGTACCCCCATTTATCCTTCCATCCTCCAAACCAACAGTGGAGCTGCACATTCAGGAGTCAGGGTTCTGTCAGGAGGACAGTGGGGGATGGAGACGCGCATTCAGGTGTTGGGGTTCTGCCAGGAGGATGGCAGTCTTGTCTCCAAACAATGCTCCTGAAACAGCTCTTCAAAGCCACTTCTCCAACTAAGAATCTAGGTCTCACCAACCCCCAACTGAGGCTTTCCCTTGTTGGCAGCATCAAGAACGGCAGGCCAAAAGCTAAATGAAAAACTGAGAAGGCAAGTTCGAAGCCAGCTCCGAAACTTTTCAAGAAATATCCTTGTTGCTAATACCATGCCTGGGGGCTGGCTGGGATTCTAGGATTAGTGTTCAGGAGATAGAAATGGGTAACAGCGGGGGAGGTGTGATCTTTCCCAAGTGCCATACCAGCTATTAAAATAAACAGGCTCCTGCTTCTTAGTGCTGCGCGTGGCAGGGAAAAAAAATCTAGGTCCAAGCAAAACCGGAAGTACTAATGCATGCAGTGGGAAAAAGGCCCAGACCACAGAGTCCTCAGAAACGACATACCTGAGGCCCATTCTAGGGGCAGAGAACAGTGTAGTCTCAGGTGTAAGTCCTGGGGTGGGGGCGGGGTGCCAGCTGCTCAGCACATATGGCCATGCTTGGGACTTAGCAAAGCTGGATGCAGTGAGTAGGAGGGGAGAACCTTTTATGGAGTCAAAGAGGAAACTGCCATTGCAGTCAGAGCCCCTGAAAAACAGGTGATGCCGAATTCAGATGGGCAGGAGACCAGGATGAACAGGTGTCAGCACTGAGCGCTTTAACATTCTACCACAAATATTGCTGTACATGAGTATAGATGACAGGCTCTCCCTGTCAGTGAGTCCTAACTGGCTCAACACTACCTTGGGAATTTTTAGAGTAACTTATTGTGCCTGTGTGTGTGTGTGTGTGTGTATGTAGGTCAGAGGGCAACTTTTGGGAGTTGGTTCTCTCCTCCCACCATGTGGATTCCAGGGATGTAGTTCAGATAGCTACATCTGAACTTAGCACCGAGCCATCTCACCCTCATCATAACTCAATCATTGAACATGACGATCTGTCATTTTTGAAAGCTCTCCAGGTGACCTGTGATCTGAGCTGGGTCCCTCTGGGGGGCCTTGCTTGACCATATCCTAGATAGATCTTAAGACTGCTCTTCAGGGGTCTGGAGAGATGGCTCAGAGGTTAAGAGCACTGGCTGTTCTTCCTAAAGGTCCTGAGTTCAATTCCCAGCAACCACATGGTGGCTCATAACCACCAGTATTGAGATCTGGTGCCATCTTATAACCTCCTGGCACACATGCAGGCAGAATTAAAAAAACAAACAAACAAACAAACAAACAAACAAAAAAACTGCTTTTCAGATGCCTGACCCTCAACTTCAACTAAGGGACCCTTTCCTTTCCAGGGTTCCCACTAAAGCTTGGAATCCCAGCAAAGGGCCACTAGTTGCCAAGGGCAGTTCAGTGTCTAGATACCAAACCCTGCCTATACTTGCTCAAGGGCTTCTTGCTGTTGCTTCCTCTCTATGCTCTTTCCCTAGCTGCAGGTTGCAGGAGACATTGATGCCGTCGGCTCATCAAACCACACAGGTGTCCCTAGCAATACAATAATTCTGGACTCCTTGGGATGATTTAAGGCAGTGGCTATTTTCTTTGCTTGGGAACGTGCAGGCGACATCCTGGTAACAGGTGTCCTGTAGCCACTCGGCTATGTCCCTGCCCTTGGCTGTGCTGGCAAATACTGACAACCCAGGGGGAAGGCCATGGACATTCCACTCGGTGCCCCAGGAACAGCCACCTGTGTGACTGGCTCCCTGAGCACGCCCGCCTTCCTGAATTTGTGGTGACTCGAAACTCGTACTATAGGTGGCTTTCTGACATAAACACTTTTTCTCAATTCTAATTTCATCTGGCTAAACCCCTTGGGAGGGCTAAAGCCATTAAAAACAACAACAAAAAAATGGTTACTAAGGTCCCTTCTCTGGTCAGCTATCTTTAGTCCTGGGGTGTCGGTTCTGGAAAAAAGTACACACTACAAACTTTATTTTGTGTAAATGGGTTTATTGACGAATACACAAGGTCAAGCCTCCCCAAACCCCACCCTCCCCAAGAACAGATCCAAACAAGAACAGGAGACTGAGCATTCTCAGGACAACCTTGACCCTCCCACACCTGGCTCCAGCATCCCAAGGATCCCAACACAGACACATGAACCAGGCTTGGCTGGGGACAGACCCTCAGGGAATCTAATCAGAAAGAGCTCTGGTGTGTTTGCTTCCCTGTCCTCTGTACTCCAGCTTGCCTGAGAGGCACACTTAGGCCAAGGAGAGCAGATACAGGGTAACCTGACCCCAGTTCTCCCACTCTGGCTAAGTTCAAAAGGGGCCTGAAGGGAAGCTGTGGCAAAGGCAACAGCCTGTCTCTTTAGGAAAGGTCCTTGCATGTGAAGCACCATCTGATATTCTGAACTCTGCCTTGGGTGAGGTGAAATGAGAGGTGGGCTCCCCAAGGGGTCCAACATCATTGACCGGCTCAGGCCAGCAGAGAACCATAGCTGTTATCTGTCACTGGTGGAGAGCTAAGAGAGGCCTCAGTTTCTGGGGTGGGAATACCCTGGTATAAAATTATTCTCTGCTTGTCCTCACACATACTCTTTCAGGAACTACAGTTCACTCTGAGATGAGAACACTGTTGTTTGTAGTGCGAACCCCTTACACTACTTATATCTAGCTGACTCCATGAATGAGTCTCAACAAGGGAACCTTGTCAACTTGCTTTTTCTACCAAACATATCACCAACCTACCTGCCTCCCACACAATCCTGCAATATTTCCTATTCCCCACATGGTGAGGGAGGGATGTATTTCCTTTTCACCAGCCAACAATCCTGCTAAAGATTCTCAAGGCTTAAGGAACTTGAGAGAAGCTTTGCAACTGGGAGAAAACAGGGTCACTCCAGATACACTGTTTAAGGAAGTTGGTTTCTACTCTCATTTTCCACAATCTCTTCTCAAACCAAACCAGTGGGTCAGGTTTGAGTCCAGAATGAGGTCTTTGGACCCTGGCACGCTTCTGCCTTGAGCAGGGGACTCCGAGTGGACTCTGAAAACCAGGTGCCAGGCTGTGCAGCAAGTGCCACATCTCAGTGTGGCATAGTGAACAGTATGGAGAACGGTGGTGAGTATGAGGCATTCTTTGAGGAGTCAGACCAATGTGTCAGGGAGGGGACCTCATATCCACGGCCCTTTGAGAGATGACAAGAACTACAAGGCCTTCTGGAATGATCTTACTTAGCTTTGGAGCTTCAGTACCATGGCTGAAGAGCAGAGAGCTGAGGGGCAGTGAGAACTGGCAACTTCTCCACACACTTCTACACTCCCTGGCCTCCAGAACTGGGCCTCTAGGAAAGCCTGGCAAATGTCAGTGCCTGCTTTCACTCGTTACCTGGATGTATATTCAGGTACCTGAGAAGAGGTCAACTGCCACCTGACATCAATGAATGAGTGGAACACCAAACTCAGTATGGAGTGTGCAAAGGGCCACAGGCAGGCACAGGAAAAAGGCAGAAGACTTTGAGGAAAGGAACAATAGTGAGCCAGCCACACAGGGAAGCTGATGGAGCTTCAGGGAACCAGCCTAAGTTCTGCTATGCAAGATCCAAGAGGCCTCGGCAACAATAAACTTTTTGCCTGTTACCTTTCTTTGTAGAAAAACAGGGTTGGACAAGTCATTAAAGTCCATTTTCACTCTTAAACATTGATTTTTAGATCTGAACCAGCCCTGAAAAATACAGGAAAGAAGGCTAGGGGAGGACACTGTGCTTATTCATCTCTACTCAGCCTCCTTAGTCAGTACAATTACTGGGGTACCACAGTGGAAAGGAGCATAGCTCTACCACCTCTCAGCGCTGTCCCTGGTAAGTGTCCTTGCACTCTGAAACGTCACTGAAGACCACCACTGCCAAGCATGGAGTCATTAAATAAGATGGCATGGGTCATAGGGAGCTTGAAGGCTTGGCCAAGGAAAGAATTAAGATAGAGGGGAAAAGCGAGGATGTAAATGACCAGGAGTGGGGTTGCCACAGACAAGAGAAACCCCCTCCCTGCCCCAGAAGGGGCCAGGAGCCAATCCTGCATCTCCTCTAAGACTGTGTTTGATGATGGTCAGTTGCCCTTCCTATTCAATGTTCTATCTCAGTTTCTCATCTGTACAAAAATATAAAACAATAAGGTGCAGTTTATGTTTCAGTGACACTTTTCCTTGCTTTAATTTGTTGGCTTTTTCTGCTTGTGAAACGAGCTTTTGATTACAAAATATCAAACTACACTCAAAAGAGGGTGTAGAAAAGCTAGCCATTGGCACAGCATGGAGAAGCTCACTAGTAAGGACAGAGAGCGGCAGCGGGTGGCAGAGGTTGGGAATGATGGAAGCAGTGGTTACAGATGTCACAAGAAGCTAACCTATCCAACAGGGTGAATGCTGAAGTCAGCACAGGACGACTGGTCACTACCGGGGTGCGTGCCGCAGGGTTTGGGGTCAGGCTCTACACAGCAGTACGATTTCTTCCAGTTTAGAGTTCTTGGCTTGCACCGATAACAGGGTGACTGGAGGGCACAGGACCCATTTATTAGTTTTTCAAAATGCTGTCGTAGACCTGATAGATGTACTGAGAGACTTCAGGGGCTCTGCACTTCAGCGACAGCTGTGGAGAGGAGGAGAACGAAGATTAGCATGGAGATGGCATTGGCCCTAAAGGCGTCCGAGCATTCAGATCAAGACAAATTCTGACATTCTGAGAGACTCTATGATTGGGATAGCCAAGCAGAGAGCTCACATTAATACAAACCATGAATAACACAAACCCCACCTTTGTTGGTGTCAAGCTGTGCTGTGTCTACCTACAGCCCATGTGGCTTTCCCACATAAGGAAACATCCATGCTGAAAACCTCAAAGCCACTGGGCAGTGGCTGTGCACACCTCTAATACCAGCACTTAGGAGGCAGACACCAGCCTGGTCTACAGAGCGAGTCTCCCACCCCGGGGAAGTCGGTGTTCTGACGCTTTACTTTGGGTGTGGGGAGCAGGACTGAAGAAACCCCTTAGCTCAGTGATGGTCCTTTCAGGTGATGATCTCAGGCCCAATCTCAGGAGGTCAGAGACTCACATATTAAGTAAAGGTCTATGGTGCTAGTCCTTTCTCTCCACTGCAGAGAATACAGACGTTAACAGAAAAACCAGAGACACAAAAGACACTATAGCTGGGCAACAGTTCCTGTCAGCTACTTAGAGGCATTTTCTCCCTCTTTAGACAGGAACCACGCCCAGCTGATAACACTGTAGTCTTCTACCAGAGGCTCTTCCGTAAGTGCAATAGTTTTCAAATTAGACATTAATATAAAAAGATTCTCACGGTAAAGGATAAAAACTAAGCCCAAATTTGGATTCTTTAACTGTATTAGAGTTAAGCAAAATATTACCAGTAATAATACAGTAAAGCATGAAAACTACATTCTACACATAGAAAATTATATGTATGTATTGCTGTCATTTCTCTTGTTCAGGTGGGAAAGTAAGAGAGTTATCCTCCACAGTGTATTGCTGTGAGATTTTATATTATTTTAACTCTTTACTCTTTGTAGAAACCCTGGATGATTTACCACAGTAGATAAGCTGGAAATATATTGAAGGAAAAAAAAAAAAAAAGGTAAAAAAGATTCTATGAAACTTTTCAACTATGCCAACTATGAATTTCTTGAAAAACTAAAATTCTCAAAACTTAAAAGTTAGCTAAGTGGTAGCTCATGACTGAATCCCAGCACTTGGGACCCTGAGGTGGGAGAGAGAATTTGCTAATCTGAGGCTAGCCTGGGGCTACACAGTGAGCTCTAGGCCAGCCTGGGCTAAGGAGTAAGCCACTACGTCACAGAAAACACAAACACAGAGCCGGGAAGATGGCTCAGTAGGCAAAGTACTTGCCATACAGGCACGGGCACGCTATTCATATCCCTCGCACCCATGCAAAAAGCCGGGCACATGTTTACGTGACGGATCTTTAATATCAACCACTCGGGGACACTGCCCATCTGCACCTACCAAGTCAGGGCTCACCCCTGCACCCTGGGGTGCATCTGGAACACACAAATCTTCACCTGTCGCCGGGTCAGACTCTCTTGTGTATCGAGATGTAGGACATAAACATTCTTAATCCTTCTTAACCTTAATTTCCTTTTTGACCAGGTCTGATAATTGCAGCAATCCTCATGCCTCTGCTTCTCAAATGCTGGGATTACAGAAGTGCCTCACAAGGGGCCTAAATACCCCTTTATGAAATTTAAGGATCAGCATGGGGGAAGTATTCTATCAACACTTCTATCTTACGAGACCAAGGGACCATGAGTCTTTCATGCACTAGTACTGGCTCAACCAGATATTTTTCCTTCTAAATGCTGAGTTGAGGCCTGATCAATAGGACAGTGGGTGCACAGGATGATGAAGGGCAGGGAACGGATCTGAGAGATTCTAAAGTCTGGAGTTCCATTTTAGAGAATGGAGTAGGCCCATGCCAGGTGCTTCCGGTGACTGAGACTGTACTACAGGCATAGGGAACCTAGTCACCAGAAGAATCTAGACTAGGGTTAGGGTACACAAGAAAAATACATTTACCATTTAAAACTACAGAGGAAGCTCTTGCCTGTTATCCTAGCACTTGGGAAGCTGAGGCAGAATGATTACTATGAGTCCTAGGATATTCTAGGCTATGTATATGCTTGAGGCCAACTTAAGCTACAAGACGGAGAGACACTGCCTAAAGGATATGTAGGCATGATAGACAGGTCAGGCCTGTGATCCCTGCACCGAGGGCATGGATACAGGAGGATAAATAGTTCTAAGTCAGACTACAGAAGACCTGTCTCCACAGAAAACAAGGGAACAACCCAACTCAACCCAAAACAACAAAGAACCCAGCAACAACAAGAAAGTATATGGGTAAGAGGGGCTCCACAAAGACAACATCTTCAGTTTTTTCTACTTCTCTCTCTCTCTCTTTTTTTTTTTTTGAGAACAGATTCTCACTGTTTCTCTGACTGCTCTGGAACTCTCTGGAGACCAAGCTGGCTTCAAACTCAGAGATCTGCCTCATCTGCCTCCTGAAAGATGTAAAAGGCACCAAGTGCTTTTTTATTTTTATTTTTTAAATAAATGTAGTTATTTTATAAGACCTGGATTTCTTGGTGAGACCCTCCCCTTCTAGAGCACAGAGGGTTTTCTTGTTCCTGGAACTTAAAGTAAATGACAGGGGAGATTATTACTCCCTGAAAAAGACAAGAGATGAGCCTGGCTTGATGGGTCATGCCTTTAATTCCAGAACTCATTTTAATTTCAATATTTGGGAGGCAGAGGCAAATCGATTTTTATGAGTTTGAGGCCAGCCTGGTTGATACAGTTATTCTAGGATAGCCAGGATTACATTTTGAGACCTTGCCTCAGAAACCTGAAACAAAGAACAAAACAAAACAAAACAAAACAAAACAAAACAAAACAAAACAGGTGAGAGATGGTAGTAGAGATAGAGGAAGGAGTGCAAACCTCACAGGAAAGCCTAAAGATGCTTACTGTGAAAACCTAAGCTGACTCGCCTTAGCAGCAGGCATACACATGGCATTCCAGCTTACATCGGCGGGAACGCTAAGCACCTCTGTTTGGGTGGTGCTAGTCCTTTGATGCACGCTAGTATAAACAACAGCTGTCAAAATTAAGGACTAAAAGGCTTCCTGAGTCTGACTTTTCACTTTCCTTAGCACTAATCACTACTGAATCTTCTTCCTCTGTCAATTCTTTCCAAACAGTCTAACACAAGAATATAGTAGTTTCCCCATCTCAAGGTCTATTGTTGGGAGATCACATTTCACATCAGCCAGAGCCCAGGGCCATGCACACAGCAATGGCTTCTGCTGTGTAAAGCATCCCAGAACTACTTCTTCCATTCATGGGATACTGGAGGAGGTTTCTTAAGCTAAAGGGGAAACCTGCAGGCTAAAGACTTCCCTCCAGGCTAGGGAAACCACGGTTAAGAATGATTAATTAGTGACCTGTTCAAATCATGGCTTTGTGGTAGTAGTTGTGTCTAGGTCTAGATACCCTTAAGACCAAGAACTCCAAAAGCAGAAAAAGTCCAATAGAAACCAGCTAGCATTTTTGTTGTTGTTGTTGGTGGTGGTGGGTGTGGGCATGTGCAGAAGCCAGAGGTGTGTGCTGGACACTCTGCTCTATCCTTTCTATCACTTCACCTTTTGACAGGTCTCTCACTGAACTGGCTGAGGCTGGCTGGTCAGCAGGCTCCAGCAATCTCCTGCCTCCTCCTAGTGCAATGCTGAGTTTACAGCATGTGTGGTTATGCCCAGCTTTTATGTGGGTGCTGGGGATCTGAACTCAGGTCCTCAGGTTTGTACAGCAAGCACCCTAATGCACTGAACTCTCAGCCCCAGAAACATTTCATTCATTCATTGAAACAGGGTCTCAGTACAAAGCTTTGGCCAGCCTCAAACTCACAGCAATCCACTTCCTCTGCCTACCGAGTGATAGGACTAAAGGTGTGTGCCGTGATACCCAGCTACAAACAATCCCCTTAACAGCTTATTATAGCACCAACTTGATGCTGAGGAGGAAGCATCTCTGTGTGTCAGGAAGGCCATGGGTTTACAAAACTCCTACTGTCAGAGGCAAATCATCTACCCTGATCATCTACCCCGGCACCATGCCGTTTAAATGTCAGAAGATGACAGAAGAGGAAACCTTCCATGAAGGCAACTCAATTAACTGAATTCTTGTTTTGGGTGTCTCAGGCCAGAAGTATTTTCTCCAGGTCTCTGTAGTACATGAAGAAATGAATGTTCAGGTTCTTACCTTCTTACTCTAACCCATCTCACACATTCTGGGAAAGGCCTTACCGTATAATTGGGGTTTCCTGGCTGGATCCGTAGCTCGGCCAAAATCCAAATGCCATTAGTGAGCTTCAGGGACTGGTACAGCATGTCTTGTCCTTCCACATTCCTCTTGGCAATAGTGTAAACATTGTTGTTTTGCAACTTGCTGGAAACTGTGTCTAGAAATAGAGGTTCAAAACTCAGGACTTTCAGTTAAAGTCTCAGACAAATGCACTCCCTGCTCTGACATGCTTAAGAGTGATCATCTATCCTGAGTCCCCTGTGAATTCTATCACATGCACATTTCAGGAGGCTCTTCTGATCCACACAGGCAAAATGAAAGGCCTGCCAATCATATCAGATGGAAAACAGAACCAGGTGCATTAACACTGGTTTAAGAGTTACCTATGAAGGGTATACCATAAAAATATCTCAAGATTTACAAATCTCAAACTAAGAACTCATAATAGTTTCTTTTCTCACTGCTATAACACAATTCCCTGGCAAAGCAACATAAGAAAGGAGGGGTTGATTTTAGCTCACAGTTCCAGGATGCAGTTCATGATGGTAGGGAGTCATGGCAACAGGAGCTTGAGGCAGCTGAGCAAAACTGCATCCGGCTCAGCAGATGATGAGTGCTAGTGGCCAACTCGCTTCCCCTCTTTTATTTAGTTCAGGACTCTACTCCAAAGACTAAAGCTACACAGTGAAGGTGGGCCCTCCCACTTCAAAGAACTAATGTGGATAATCCCACAAAGGAATGCCCAGAGGCTAGTCTAATTCAGAGACCTGCTCACAGGCATGTAGACAGGCCTGCCTTCTAGGTGGTTCTAAGCCCTGTCAAACTGACAATATTAAGCCTGACAATGGTAGACAGGTACAAATGCTGATGAGAACAGAGAAGGGTGTGTGGAGTCCCTGTAGAAACTGCAGTGTTGGTGTCTGTCTCTGGAATGCCGCTCCCCAACCAGTACAGTTATACTGACAATCAGATGTACACTTCCCAAGTCACTACTGCTGCCCCATGAGCCTCAGTGTTCCAGGGTTAGAGAAGGGCAGAGCTGCACAAGTCTTTTCAAGTCAGATTTATTCAACTGGATACTTAAGATATTTTTTTATACCACGCAAATGAATTCCTTAGATGCTAAAGAAAATCATCCTTTTAAACCAACAAGGAAACAAAGTCATTTAATAAAATAACAAAAGCATTTCAGGAGGATTGAAGCTGTGTGAAGTAACTGCCATCAGGTCCTGAAATCCCAGATGCCATTTTGGTCATGACTTTCTCTGCACTCACCAGCTCAGGGCAAGAACAGGTTGATGTCTGGAGCATTCTCTTGACTATAGCATCAAAGAGACATGATGCTCTAGAATTAAAGGTCATTTCTCTCTGTGAGATGGTGCGGTGTCAGAGACAGATACACTTTTAAGAACAGAGATGATAAAGTACGTATGGTAATGTCTTTAATCTCTATACTTGGGAGGCAGAGGCAGGAGGGATTTCTGAATTTGAGGCTAGCCTGGTCTACAGAGTGAGTTCTAGGACACCCAGGGTCACACACACACACACACACACACACACACACACACACACACACACACAAAGGAATAGAGATGATAAACACAGCTTCTTTGTTAGCTACTTATTTATTAGCTTCAGATGAGAACTCAAATTGCGCAGCCAAGTTCAGGAACTAAAATCTCTCTCTCTCACACACACACAAAAATATTCTGGTGTGGTCTTCAATAAAGGAAGCCTAATGGTCTGCAGCCCATGAACAGTAACATTGCAGTACAGGCAACCTCATGTTTTCATCATTGGCTTTTCTCAGCACCTGGACACAGGTGCTGATAACGGGTGCCTGTTATCAATATCTATAAGTATGTGTTTGAATTTTGTATTGACCTAGGCACAAGAGATGCTTCTAAAGCCACAGGTTAAGCATCTGCTTGGATGGGTACTGCTTTTGGAGGCACTTCTAACTCTGATGGCCTTCTACATGCAAATCAGGTAGCTTTGGGGGAATGGCCATACTAAGGTCTCTGCGTGCTGGGATTACAGGTGACTGCACCCAGATAAATGAGCTATTTATTTATTTTTTATGTGTATTAGTGTTTCATCTGCACATATGTCTGTGTGAGGACGTTGGAGTCCCTGGATCTGGAGTTACAGACAGTTGTGAGCTGCCATGAGATTGCTGGGAATTGAATACAAGTCCCCTGGAAGAGCAGCCAGTGGACCATTGAGCCATCTCTCCAGACCCTCATTAAGGAGTGGTTCTCAATCTTCCTAAGGCTGATCTTTTAATACAGTCCCTCATGTCCATAAAACTAAGAGATCCGACAGCCTCCCAAGTGCTGGGATTAATGGCAAGCACCACCACCACCCAGCCACTTATTTTGTTGCTACTTCACTTGTTTGCTACTGTTAAGAATCATAATATAAAAATATCTGATGTGCCAGATACCCGATATGTAACCCCTGTAAAGGGGGTTGTGAATACAGGTTGGGAACTTCTGGTCAAAGGTTCTGGCCTCTGAGGGCATCAGACATGTATGTGGTGCACAGACTCACATGCAGACAAAACACCACATCCGACAGAGAGACAGAGAGACAGAGAGGAAAGAGAAAGGGAGGAGGAGGGGCTTTGTCCCACACCCAAAAAGTATATCTCGGGGTAGTTCTATGCCTCAATAAACGCTGCAATCATCTCGTAGGGGGGCCAGACCACTCTTGCTGTCACTCTGGTTCCTACAGTGAAGTGCTCTTGGAACGTAATGGGTTGCTAAGCAACATTTCCAGCTGGAGTTTGGCTAATGCTTTTTGAAAGGACTGTCTGTGACATACAGGGACTTGCTTTAAGTTGAAAAAGCTTTTCCTAACTTTCAAGGCGCATGCCTATTTTCCAGAGCAGCAGGAATCAGGCAGGGCAGGTGCCTTTCAACAGCATTCTTGCTGCACAGCCACATATGCGTTTTATTCATATATCCAAGCCTAGATGCCTGCAGACTTCTTATTTCACCATTTGTGTAATGATGATAGGGAAGGAAAGGGTTCTGTTTGTGCTGAATGAAGGAGGGTTCTATAACAAAGGATGTAGAGTCAACTTCTTACTTATTCATTTTAGACATATTATTATTTAAGGTGTGTGTTAAGGCTCGTTTCAGGGGGTTCTTATATAACCTGGGCTATGCAAACCAGGTGAGCTTGGCTTGCAGTGATCCATCTCTGCCTCCTTAGTGCTGGGATTACAGAGGCAAGTCACCACATCTGACCTATTTTTAAATTTAAGTTTTACAGTGTAACACACTGAACCCAGTGCCTTGCATATATCAGACAAGGACCTGAGCCTTACATATTTTAAGGTTTTAGGTTTGAGCGTGACTGAAGAACTTACTCTGCTAAGTGTACCATCTGAGGGTGGCAAACTCTGGTGATGCATACCTGAACCCTCCACCCAGGAGGAGGCAGGCAAGGATGTAGTGAGAGCTGGAGGTTAGGCAGCTTCCAGCCACAGTGGACAGACTCCTTAGTAAAACAGCATAGTTAGCCAGGTTTGGTGGCACACACCTGTGATTCCAGTACTTGGGAGGCAGAGGCAGGAGGATCTTTGTGAGTTTGAGACCAGCCTGTTCTAGGAAGTGAGTCCAGCAGAGCCAAAGCTACACAAAGAAACCCTGTCTCGAAAAACAAAACAAAACAAAACAAAACAAAACTCTACCATCACAATTAGTTTTATATACTTGAGCTTCTGGCATATGGGACAGAGTCTCAGGTTGTGAGATTCTAAGAATATGGAATGTCAGCTGCTTTAGTGTCTACAAATGATGCTAGCTAAATGATGCTAGTTCAAGGGAATAATACTAAGATCTGCCCCAAAGTAGGATAATGGTCAAATATGACTGAGCTTGCTTCAAGATGTAACTTCTTCTCATTCACTTACTTCCTCTCACAAACCTGGCTCTGAGATATGGGTGTCTGGGCTCTTTGAAGGTATGGATGTGTCTTCAGCTTTCTTCTTTAGCTAAGGTAACAATTTTGTCAACAATAAAAAAGGTATAAAAAAAGGATGGTAGATATCTGCATTTGGGCTTTTATGGGCATTGGTTAGCAAGTTCAAAACTACTAATCTGAAAAGGACATTTTAGAAAAATACTGCTGAAAATGACTGAAATGGCTGAAAATGACTGAAAAAATCATTTTGCAAAAAAGAAAAAAAACACTACAGTTAAGTGCCAACTTAAAAAGTTTCCATTTTTGAAATGTTCCAAAGCACAGGAAAACCACGGTAAAATAGAAATCAAACTCATTCTCAGAAAGTGCCCATGCCTAAAGAAACAGCTCTTGTTCACTGCCACACAAGTGAAGATCTCTACTCAGGTGCCAGAGCTTTCTTGAGTGTAGTAAACAATGAAACAGGCTTGTAAGACTGACTGCCACAAGTGCCACTCTTTAGATACGGATGGAAATATACCTACCTCTTGTGCACTTTAGGTAGCACTTCAAAATATGTAATAATCCTGAATGTAGCTAAAAGGTGAGATATGAAACAGGGCCACGTATGGTGGCACACTTTTAATCCCAGCTGTAAGGAGACAGAAGTCTCTGTGAGTTTGAGGCCAGCCTGGTCTATAGGACAGCCAGGGCTACACAGTGAGACCCTGTCTCAAAAGAGACACCTGGAGAAGTGTTTGCTGCTGGGAAACAGGAGTCTTGTGTGTTGGTGCCTTTCTAATATTTACAGCAGATAGCAGCACCCTCGACACCCACACCACATACATCTTTATTACGGTCTGAGTATTAAGAATTGCAGAGGGTTTCTTTCTTCTCTAGAAAGCTCAGAGAACAGACAGAAAAGCTCACTGCTATACTGGCGAGTCCTTCAAGGCTGTGACTTCCTGTAGCCCAGAGTGTTCCTTCCATCTGTCAAATGTCTTTGCTAGCACAGAAGAGCTATTTTAAGTGCTGGTGCTATTGTGATTAGGGAAGATCAGCTGGAAAGGATGGTATTTTTAGCTCTCAGCTAGACACAGGGTGTTGAATCAGAAGGCACCAAACCTGCAAAGGCTCCTGTTAATAGAGTCGTCAAGACTGGGAGGAACTGGAAAGGCCAAGGCATTCCATACCTCAGGGTGGAGATGGGGAAGCATTAGAAGGGATTAGCTGAAGAAAGTGGTCTTACAAGATTAGCAGGGATTCAGCATAGAAAAATGGCCTTGGAGAGCTAGAGAAGACAAACTGGCTGTCTTTTCTTTATGCTCCATGTGCCCCACTGCCATGATGTGTGCCACCAGAAACCAGTTCAACAGCATTTGGAACACATAGACAGGAGGAACTGGCGCAAGGCCATGCAGTTTTCAAACTGAGTCCGCTGTGAGGACTACATCAGAGGAAACAGCCTCCCTGGGAGAAAGGTCTCATGCTTTGACGAAGTAAGGATTCCTTTCTTTCTAGTATTTTGGCAGGCTAGACTAAAGTCCTTGGTCAACCAAATTCCCCATGCAAATACATGCCCTTTTCACACCGAGAAACCGAAATTGCTTCCCAATTCTTCTGTTTCCCACACTCTGTAGGGGAGAACAGTGGTGTTCTGCCAGATGTTAACAGCAAGCACTGTGATCTGCAGTTCTACAAGCAAAAGTGTGCATTTAACCATAAGTCGGACAGGTTTTTCTAATGTAGGACTTATCAGAGCTTTCAGTGTGTGACTATACAGACATGCCATATGCTGCACATTCTAACTTTAACCCCTACTAACAACAGGTGTTCTCAGGTATACACTGTTGGACCAGCTGCCATGAGATGGTGGTTAACCCAGAGCAACTCTGCTGGAATGGAGTACAGAGATGATTCTTTCATGGGGCACATGCTGGTTTTGGTTACCAGCACATGGATTCTACAGTTGAGGCTTCCTGTTTCCTTCTTCCTGAGGAACAGTCCATTCTGTGGAGCTTCTGTGCTTACAAAATACAGTTCATTGTAACTGACTGGTGAGCTTCAGAGGAAGCACCAACCAGTGCTGCCAGCCACTTAAAAACCCACTAGGTGAAGACAATTATAAGAGAAACCATGAGCCTCTCCTCACCCCTCTCCACATGAGGGGAGACGTGAGGTAACCCTCATCATAGAGAAGCTCTGTCTGAAGTGTCTGCTCAAGGATGCCAGGCTGTCCTTTAATGTCTGAGGCTACAAGTAGGCATTTTCCTCCTGAATGTCTTGAAGGCCCAACTGGACTATCACATTTAAGGGCCAGCACAGGAAGATGCTGATAGCTATCCAGTTGGATTTCAAAAGCCCTACATGCAAAGATCTGTTTAAACACAGAAGAGAAATACAATGCAGAGACCCCCCCAAAAACAAAATTAAATACAAGTTGGGTTGAGAAGACAGTGAGAGCTTTTTTCTTCTTTCTGTACTGCACATCGTTTCGTTTCTCCAATGCTCTGCTCCAGCCGCAATGGAGAATGGCAGCACGCTGAAAACCAGTAAGGCAACCCACTGTGTACAGAGTGGGAACTGAGGGTTAATGAGGAGGGTGCCTAGCAGGAAGCAAAGACAGACTGCACACAAGCCAGTATTCTCAACAGCAAATATTCTGGTGAAACAAAGCCCTAGGGAAGGACAGCTGCTGCTGTCTCTCCTCTTGGGTTACCTCTTCTTGTATTTTACTATAGCAACAAAATGAATTACAAAAGGGCTTAGGAATTAATGGTGATTAAGGAGGTTAAGATTATTATATGAAAGTCGACAAATGGGAGCAACAATAAAGGTTATCAGCTAGGCTTTAATCAACCATGATAATATGCTTTATTTATAAATAGAATTCTAAATACAGAATTTGCTCCAGTGCCAAATGAGAGATGACATAGTCTTTCAGTTCTTAGGAGGGCAACTATCCTCAAGTATCACTTCAGCTACTTGATGCTGAGGACATTTAAGTAACTTGATTGATAGTTACTACTTCTACTACTGAAGGACTAGTAGAGTACATAGGCCAATTATAGTTTGGGGTTTGTTTCATAACATATTTTTTTTACATTTTCTGATGCTGAGAGCAAACCTAGGCTCTTGTGCAAGTTAGAGCTAGTTTATTTATTTACAAATTATTTATTTTGGTTTTTCAAGTCAGGGTCTCTCTGAGTATCCCTGGCTGTCCTGGTCTCACTTTGTAGACCAGGCTGGCCTCAAACTCACAGAGATCCACCTGCCTCTGTCTCCAGAGTGATAGAATTGAAGGTGTGCACCATCATGCCTGCTCCTATTTTTTTCAAGTATTTTTAAATCTATTAGCTCTTGTAGCTTATAAGTAATTTAGTGCCTTATATCAAAATATCCCTTTTTGTTTTTTCCTTTTTATAAAGAGAGAGAGAGAGAGAGAGAGAGAGAGAGAAAGAGAGCGAGACAGAGAACTGTATAGTGCCAGCTGGCCTGGGACTTGCTATATAGACATTAAGGCTGCCTCTGACTCATGTGCTGGGATTTAAGCAAGTATGTGGCACCATGCTCAGACATATTGTACACACACACGTGTGTGTGTTAGAGAGAGAGAGAGAGAGAGAGTGTGTATGTGTGTGTGTTTTAAAAAGAGATGGGCTGCTTAAAATTTGTAATTCTCTTGCCTCAGCTTCCTGAGTTCTTAGATTACAGGTATGTACCATCATGTCTGGGTAACATGTCAAGCGTGTGTACCATCATGTCTGGGTAACATGTCAAGCGTTTAAGAGAGATTTACAAAGTAAAGGTATTTAACATGTAGTCCACCATAATCATGTTTAATGTGGGAAGATGTAGGGTCAAAAAGGAAAAACTTTAAATATGTAATTTGACTTACTAAGATGAAAATGAATCAAGAATTATTACTTACCAGCATTTAAATGACATTCCTTAATCTGAAACTGGAGTTCATTTTCATTGGGAATATCCTTCCACGTTGCAAGGAAGACCTGGCGCTCTGTATGGGAATGCAACGGTGATATGTCAGCATTTTGTCTCCTGATGCCTTCCACCAGTTTTCCTTTGACATGCTAGGAGCATGTTAGAATTGGATCAAAGTTTCTGATATGCAAAGGAGATGTATACTAGGCCTTTACTGACTGAACTAATATACACTGGAAGAACATTTGCATTTAAGAGTTTAGTTTTGACTCTTTGTATTCCTACAGGTGATTTTAGGCACATCTTGTCACCTTTCTTTCATTTTTCTTTTTTCTCCCCAATACAGGGTTTCTCTGTGTAGCACTGGCTGTCCAGTAACTCACTGTGTAGACCAGCTGGCCTTGAATTCAGAGACCTGCCTGCCTCTGCCTCGAGTGCTGAGATTTAAGGTTTGTGACAACATACCCGGCTGGAAGGTGGTTTCTTAAGTAAGGGAAAAGTCAATAGCTATGTTGGGGTAGGATAAGAGACTAATGGTTTACCACAAACTACTGAATTCTTATCTTGGTATATGAACTTGGTGCAGAGTTAAGTGCTAAACTTACACACCATCTCACTAGTTCATCATAAAGATGATTTCCAAAGGCAGAAGCCAAACAGAAAGTCTAAGCTCTTGCTCAGGCTTCACAGCTGTCCACAACCCTCTCAACCTTGTGTGTGGGGTGGCTCGTTCAGTCAGGCAAGTGGCACTGGGACTTGGGATGACAGAGTAAGAACAGCAACTAACAAATGACCAATGATCCATTATTTATTGGGGCTCTAGAATATACTAATCTTATTTAAAATTTCAAAATGGTCTGTACTTCTAGGGCTATGCTATGCCTGCCATTCAGATGATGGCCAAAGGTATATTTAGCAGGACAGAAGGACACACTTACCCATTTTGCCATCTTCTACAAAAAGCACATTGAGTGGGATGAGGCAGCTGAAGTAGAAGACATCAATATTGTTTTTAACAGCCACCTGGCAGGAAAGCAGAATGTACAAATGGGGACATCAATAAGGAGCCAGGGAGGAGGAGGGGAACAGGTGTATCTAGAAATTTGCTTCCTAATTCAGTCAGTGCAGGCCTTCTGAGCAACACACAGCAGCCCATGGACTGCAAAGCACATTGCTCCCCACTCACCAACATACAGCTCTGGCCACTTGTAAGCAATCTTTCTCCAGGAGGACTGTCTATGGCATGCCCTCTACACCAGGTAGTCTCAGCCTGTGGGTTGAGACCCCTCTGGACGCTGAATGACTTTCACAGGGGTTGCATATGAGATATCCTGCATAGCAGATATTTATATTCTGATTCATAACAGTAGCACAACTGCAGTTCTGCAGTAGCAGCAAAAATAATTTGTGGTTGGGGGTCACCACAACATGAGGAAGGCTGAGAGCCACTATTCTCGACAAAGGGTAAACTCTGCAGTTGTCGCTTTTAAACTTTAAAAAACTATTTCAAAAATTTGAGTGCTTTTGTGTGCCCATAAATACTATGATGAATGTGCAGGGGTCAATGGGCAACTTTTAGGTATCACACTCAAAAACACTGTCTATGTCCTTTTTTTTTTTCTGCAATAATAATTTCACTGTTATATTTATTAAGTCATTTTTCTTTTCTTTTTTTAACTTTGATTAATTACACTTTATTCACTTTGTATTCCCCCATAAACCCCTCCCCTCCTAATCCCACCTTCTCTCTCCCTTCTTCACCTATGCCCCTCCCCAAGTCCACTGATAGGGGATGTCCTCCTCTCCTTCCTTCTGATCCTAGTATATCAGGTCTCATCAGAAGTGGCTGCATTGTCATCTTCTGTGGCCTGGTAAGGCTGCTCCCCCCTCTGGGGGAGGTGATCAAAGAGCAGGCCAATCAGTTTACATCAGAGGCAGTCCCTGTTCCCATTACTATGGAACCAACTTGGACACTGAACTGCCATGGGCTACATCTGTGCAGGGGTTCTAGCTTGTCTATGTCCTTTTAGAAAGGGTCTTCCATTGGCCTAGAACTCATCCATCAGGCTAGGCTGGCTGGCCAGTGAGCTCACAGGGATCCTCCTGTCTCCACCTTCACCACCCATGTGCCATAACATCTGGAGTTGCTACACAGTTCTGAGGATGGAATTCAGGTTCTTCTACTGAACCATTCTCCATCCCTCTTCTCCAGTGACATTTCTATTCTTCTTTTTAACTATTCTAAACAAAGCAGATTCATTCCCTTGTTTTATAGATAAGGAAACTAAAGAAAGGAAAAGGAATAACACATGTCAGAGAGGCTATACCAGATTTCAAACCCACATTTGTCTGTTTTCAATTCAGTCTTATGTTTTTTTTTTTTTTTTCCTCCACAAAAACTATGCCACAGAGTGACTCTTGACTTTTCTAAGAGACAGGTTTGATAAACATATTTTCCAGGTCCTACCATAAACAAAGCATATTGAGCCAGGCACAGTGGTACACACCTGTAACCCCAGCACTCATGAGGCAGAGGCAGGCAGATCTCTGCGAGTTCAAAGCCTGCCTAGTTTACAAAGCAAGTCCAGGACAGCAAAGGCTACACAGAGAAACCCTGTCTTGAAACAACAACAACAACAAATTGAAAGCATACTGGGTTCAAGCACTGGTGACGCTGATGGTTATAAGAAAAAGCTTTTAAGCAAACAATTGCATTTTCTTCTCACAATACAAACTTCTGGAGTCTTACCATGGTGTACATATGCTGCTTTAAATAGGCTACAACAGATACTTTTACTTGGAGCACACCACTAATGTATGCATGGGGCACAGGCCCAACTCCTGCAGCAGGTCCGGGAGCATGTAAGGTGGGAAGGGAGAGGAGCTGCTTTTCCACAGCTTTCACTGCTCTCTGCTCCCGGTGACTTCCTCCCTATGTTCCTGGCACTGCAGGAAGTTCTGTGATCACTATCCAAGACTATTTTTCTTTCTCACTTTGCTCTTAAGAAGTAAAAGAAACTGGTTGTGGTGGCTCATGCCTATAATCCCACACCCAGGGTGCTGACACAAAAGGGTGGTGCTACAGAGATCCTGATTCAAAAAGCCAAAGCTAGTGGTGGAGGGGTGATGGCGGTGGAGGGGTGGGGTGGGAGGTGGCACACATATTTAATCCCAGAACTTGGGAGGCAGATTTCTATGGGTTCAAGACCAGCCTGGTCTACAGAGTGAGTTCCAGGACAGACAATGCTACATAGAGAAACCCTGTCTCAAAAAACAACAAAATAAAAAGCTAAAACCAAACAAACAAATAAGAATGTAAAGCAAAATAATGTTGACCTAGAACCTTCCAACCTCTCTACCCACCAGCTAACTTTGTTCTAATTAAAAACAAACAAACAAACAAAAAACCAAAATAAAACAAAAAACTAATAAGCAAAACACACACAAAAGGAAAATAAAAATAAACAAAAAGCCAAAGTAAAGCAAAAAGAAACAAAAAGCCCACAAAAAATTCCTGCCTGCTGACTGCTCCTGAGCATAGACCTGACTTGGAGTATGGCTGATATAACCAATGGCACTCCACTGGAGAAAACTGATTTTCCCTTTGCAGATAATCTCTTGGCTACAAATGAAACTCTGATCTACTTTCCCCTGAGTGCTGGGACCCTGTACGGCTTGAATCTGTGTGGGTCTTGTACCTGATGCCACATTCCATGAGTTCATACATGCACCAGTCCTGTGGTATCAGGAAGATACTGTTTTCTTAAGAGTCATCTACTATTTTTGGATCTCACAATCTTTCTGCCTCCTCTTCCATATGGATCCCTGATCCTTGAGGGAGAGATCTGATGGAGATGTCCCATTTCGGATCAAGTACTCCAGAGTCTCTCATTCTCTGCACACTGTCTGTCTGTGGGTCTCTGTGTTAATTCCCATCTATTTCGAGAAGCTTTTCTGAGTAGGTAGATCAAGGCAATGATCCATCCATCCTCCCCTCTTTCCTACCCAAGCTAAATATATGTCTCTTCATCAAAACTGCAAAACTGTGGCTTTGTGATGAAGAAATTCCTTTCTGAAGTTCTTGCAGTCCTCACATTTCTCACCAATTCCTTTTTTTCTGAACGTAACTAACACTTATTTCCTGGGCAAGCCCCCTTAATAACACGCCTCTGATCTCTCGGGATCCCTTCAATCACTTTCTTGGTAAGCCAGGCTTCTATCCTTCCAATTCCCAAGTACAGAAGTTTCTGACCTCTACCACACAGTCCGATTCTCAGAGACTAGCCTGTAGGTTAAAGGGGAGTGACTACTGTCAGAAGGGATGTGAGGAGCTCTCCAGTGTACTGAAGCACCACTTTCGGAGACTTAAACCAGCAGCAGGCTTCTAGAAGAGAGCTATGCTCAAATTCACCTGATCCTCGGCAGAAGAATTAGAGAAAAGGAAATTCTTACTTCAAATTAGGGCCTCAAGAAGATCTCAAGGCAGTGCCTGGCTCTGCAAAGGACATTTACAAGTGAAAACTGGGGAAAGGGAGTTGGTTGGTCATGAGAGGTTCATGAATACTAGTGACGACTATTACTATTACTCTTCAATACCCAGCCGTTAGATCTCACAAAGTACACTCAGTTTAAACATTTATTGGTGTTCGCTACATTCTATGTGATAAAACTAAAAATAGAGGAACTGTAATTCATCTCCCCAGGGGATGGTGGTTCTTAACCAAAAGCTTTTATCAGAACCATCTTGACAGGTTTTTTTTAAAATACAACTAGGGATCACCTCTATATGAAAGAATTACAACCTCTCCATCTGGAAACAGCTTCTAGAAAGACCATTAATTTACAGCAGTGCTTTCTAAGAAGACTGAGTGAGTCCATAAACTGTCCTTCTGAGATGGCTATTCCAATCACAGCCTGGCAGCAATGAAATGTTCCTGGAGGTTAGCAGGCTAACCCACTTGGCTACCGTCTGGACCTCATAAACAGAAAGGCAGGAACCCTCCATCACTCTGTGCCACTTGTTACAGTTCTCATCTTCCCTGAAGACTGAATAATCCTGTGAAGCAGATACTCTAATCAAAGGCAGCAGCAGTCCTGAGAGAGTCTTGGGAGCCAGAACAACTGATTTCAAATTCTAACGTTGACACCTGCTTGCTGTGTGACTTAGGGGCAAGTAGTATTCAGATTAATTTCCTGTCCACGAAAAGATCAGAAGCATTATTCACAGGGCTGTCATAAGTTCCTATTTGCTGAGCACACTGAATGCTAACTCTCAAGCACTATGGTGAATGCAGGACAAGAAGAAGCTGCTTTCACTACCTCCATCTCCTGGTTTTGATTTTTTTTTTTTTATCATTAAGGATAACTATACATTTGATTCCTTGAGATTTTAGTATTACTATTATGCTACACAGGGATCAGAGTTTTAAAAAGCTTACTGGCAAACTATCTGCTTACGCTGAATGATTCTGCAGTGGCTTGCTAAGAGGCCATCTTTTAGGAGTAACAGCACAGATTTCTTGCTGGGGAAATGTTTTAATCTCTTCTGTATTAGCTTTCAAAAATCTGTATTTTGTAGTTTTCAAACACTTATCATTGGGTAGAACCGTGTTCATTTCAACAATCATGCTCTCTTGATCTGCCTCTTGTCTACCTCTCTATTTCTATTATTTCAACCACATCCAAATTACTTCTTGTTCCCAATATTGAAACGCACAGCTCTGAATTTTCACATACTGTTATTTGTGCTTGATATATTTTTTCTCTTAAGATTTGTCTTACTTATCTAAGTCAGTCTTAAATTTTCAGAAAACCCCAGGCCCCTTCACAGTGTCCGGTGCGCACGCTACTAATACCGTGTAGAACACAGTTATTTACCCAGGGCTGCTGCTGCCTCAGTAAGCTGAGAGTACGGGGTATCTCACTTCTACCAGCAGACTGCCTCGTTCCATCAACACCTGCCGGATGGAACTAGCGGAGGACATTACACAAATGGCCAACACACTACTTTGCTCACTTGTTTC